ATCTAGTCTTTTTTTGTGCTAAATTGAAACCGACCCTCTGGGAGGTTTCCTTTCCCCCCCTGATGCAGCTTCAATTTACAGTGAAGATAATCCAATTCCCAGTTGAATGAACCACGTAGTGTCAAATTGTTTTAACTGCACCGGGGTAAGAAGTGATAAAGTAAAGCCAAAGAATGGGAAATATGGGAAAGAAATAGAGCCAAAATTAAAAAAATGAGGGAGAGGATCGTTAAAATGTCTGGGAGGAGGGAAATTTGATAGTACGATAAAGTGGAAAAGAAAAGTTGTGAGGGAAATGGGGTAATAAAACTGTAATATAAAAGGAGGGAGGAAGATAAAAGTGAGAAAGGTGAGGAAGACAGGAAATAAAAACGGAAAGGGAAAAAAAGATAAAGACGAGGAGAAAGGAAGAGTAGAGGAGGAATTAAGAAAAAAGGAAAAATGGGCAAGAGAATAAAAAAAGGTTTGAAATATCAAAAAATCATTGCAAGAGAAACCAAAAAAAAGAGAGAAAGATTACCAGATTAGAGGAAGAGGAAAAAAAACAACAGGATTTATTCTACTTTCAAACTAACTCTCCTCCAACTTCCTTCAAGGGCACAAAATATCATTTTTTAATATATTTTTTTTACATTTTCCTCCTCCACCCTCCCCTTCCTTCCCTTATGAAAGAACCTATCAATATCTCGCTGAGCAGAAGGGAAGCTTCAAATGATCCCTTCTAATATACAGGTCACATCTTATTTAAATGTTAGTATGCTAAAAATGGCACTAATTAGCACTAATTAAGTCCAGCTGAAGCTGAAGGGAATGTCAGTTGTTGTGCAGGTATTTGGTCATAAACCAAAGTCCCGCCCCTTTTTTGTTATGTGGTCCAATTAGAGTCGAGCAAGCCTTATTCAGAAACCTGATTTCCTGTACATAGGTGCCAGACTCGTGTTGATCAACATCAATCATTAGCTTGCTAATTAGCTAGAGTTTTGCAACAGAGCAAAATCACCTTTAAAGCTTATCATGTAGCTTTAAGCAAAGAAAATATAAGTTCAAGTTGTGTCAAATCGGTGTGGCCGAATATCAGCTGCATTGTCATCGTTTCACTTCACTGCAAATGCTTTTCTTTACATTAAGAGTTCTTTGAAGGGACAGAAAGTAACAAAGAGACTGCATGAGAAAGAGTCCCATCTTTAATACATATAAACATTTGCTTTAAGATATCTGAGTTGCCTTGCATACCGAATAACTTTTACCTTGCTCACTGCACCATGAAGACAATACGCATCAGTCTGATTTATAAACACATAAAGCAACCTTGAGCTAGTGAAATGTGTGTGGAGTTGTGTTTGAGAGACACAAGAGTAAATTGCTTTAATCCTCCTCTTTGCTGCCTCAGCTACAGTCTTTAACTGGCTTTTCTTTTTTTTCTGCTTCAACAGCCGTTAAGTGTCTCAACAAAATGCTTGTCCCCACAAAGTTGTCAGACCCCCAACGCCGTGAGTGTCCCCCCGATGTCGGGACCCCACAAATACAGATAAACAAGACCACACTGTACACGCTTATAGAGAAATAAAAGAAGGGAACCAAAGAGAGAATAAAGTTTAGGTGGGAGGGTGAAAAGAAGGAAGACACCCATTTGAATCTCACACATACAAACACATACACACTCCCTTCAACATTTATAAGTGCAAACACACACACACACACACACACACAGTGAAAGGACAGTGACTCAGTGCTGAGTCAGATACGGCTCTGAGGATTTTCAGAGGAAATGTAGGAAACCGCGACAACACAGCTGCCTACATTATATTCAGAGTTCATGAGACGTTTCTGCAGGATGAGTTTAGGGAATAGGAAGTGAACTGTATGATTCAGTCGCTACTGTGGCTGTTACAGCTACTACTAGGACTAATAGTCCCGCAAGTGCAAGTTATACAACTGCTGCACCTGTCACTGTTAATAGTTACCTGCTCTGACTCGGTATCTTCCAACACAAGAGCTGCTAAGGTAAACCAAAGAATGAAAGACCAATCTTTTCCTATAACTTATCATGAAGTAAGTCTTGATTGCACAGTGTAATGGCTGCTATAGAACAATGACACCTTCTACAACTACAACTACTACTACTACTACTTCTACTACAACTACTACTACTACTACAACTACTACTACTACAACTAAACTACAACAACTACAACTACTACTACAACAACTACAACTACTACTACTACTACTACTACAACTACAACTACAACTACTACTACTACTACTACTACAACTACTAAATGTTCACATTTTTTGGTAAAATATGTAAGAAATTTCAATCTTAATGTGCACTGAGCCACCATTAAGCCCTATTTCTATCATCACCAAGGATAACTGCATCATCAAATTATTTTTATGTTACTCAACAGAATATTTCAGGGTTTCCTACTACTGTTACTACTATTACAACTCCTGGAAATCATAGCACCATTTGTACCAATTTAAGTGTAAAAATCCACAAAGATTGACATTAGGTTGTGTAACAGCGATGAGTTGCAGAGGTTCAACAGAAGCTCACTAACAATGGCAGCATCTTAAGTTCACCATGAGTCATTACACATAAACAGTGAGTCAGCACTGATACAAAGCTGCAACAAGCTCCACGGTGTGCTGCTGTTAATAATGTTTTAAAAGTGAGGTGTCATTGGTGTCTGTTTATCCTGCTTTTGCAATGGTAATTGGACAGTTATAAGTCCTATGTTTACTGGTGTCTTAGCTCTGGTTTGTTCCAATATTCATTGCTGTTATAGCTGAAGTTTGGTCCAATATTTACTGGTGTTTTAGTCTGGTGTTTTAATACATTTTCCACTCTATCCCTGTTTTAGCCTATGTTTACTGGTATTTTAGCTCTGGTTTGGTGTAAAATTCACCAATGCTTCAGTCCTGTTTCAGTCTATTATTCACGTTATGTTTTAGTCCGGTGTTCTGTGGTTGTAACCCTGGTGTGGCCCAGTATTTATTGGTATTTTAGACCTGTTTCGGTCCAATATTCAGTGATGTTTCAGTCTAGTTTTAGACCATTATTCACTTATGTTTTCCCCCCGTTTTAGCCTAATATTCACTGGTGTTTTTGTCCAATATTCAATGATTTAATATTTTCAGCTGTTTTAACCCTGTCTTTGATTAATTGTTGACTGGTGTTTTAGTCTTTGTGTGCACCAATCTGCCTAATTTTCCTGGTGTGACCACTTTTTTATGCAACCTCTGAACTGACGTCATTTACTGCTGCAGTGATTGTCCACATACTTCTTTTGTTTTTGTTATTTGAAACACCACTTCTCGCTTATGAACTTCTCGCTATTAAAGGATCATTTTTCACATGTTCCTGACATTCTGATTTGAGCAATATAAATGCTGCACAGGTTAATTGTGTGGGTATTTTCTACTGTGGCGAACGTAGGATGGACAGTATGTTATTATGTTCAGACATTTATGCTAATTTTTCATAAAAAAAGATGAACTTAAGAGGTACCACACTTCAACAGTTCTCCATTATCCATCCTTCTCTTGTTTGATCAAATTATATCCAATGTTTTTGTCAGATGCATTATGTCAAGTAATGTCAGTAATAAACCCATTTCACTGGGTTATTCTTGATAAATGCCACTTAAGAGGCACAGTGTTCTTTCTCTTAATTGGCTTTTTGTGCCTGACTTTCTTACAGGGTCATTGTTTTTCTTCTTTTCTTCTTCTGGCTCTGCTCTTTGCACTAATGTGATGAAAAGAAAATGTTCAACAAGCTTTGTTTAAGATATATTGCAGGTACATATTCTTTTTTTGTCCAATTTTCTCTTCTTTGAGCTTCGTTTTTCTCTTTAATTTTCAAAAGAGGCACATTATGTAAGAAAGCATTTAAAAAGGAGCACTCAAATGTAATGAAAATGGACAACAGGGACACAATTGTAATGTTTCACTTCAAAGCCTCTGGACTGATAGAAAAGGATACTGGTAAAAAAGTTTCAGTGTCATGAAAATGAGTAATATTGCTCATGAAGAAAGAAGCAAAAGGGAGTACATCAGAGCAAGAAATCTACTTTATTTTCAGGAGGGTATTTCTCTACCCTCAGTCAGATTTGCTTTTTGTCATCTTTGTGTTGTTCTCAGTGAGCTATAGTGTGAGAAAAGTCCACAAACACAATTTACACCACTGAGACTAAAATAATAATACACCATCACAGCCGCAGAATAACAATGAGACTGTTTCTGTTGCTTCAGGCTGCTTGCTAGTTAGTTTTCCGATCAGCCACCCAGAACATATTGGAGTGTGGGTTTGTCACAAATTATGTACAGTGGCCTGTTGGGGACAGTGGTTCATGTGTGGATATTATGAAAATTAAGATTAAACAGTGAAAGGAAATGAAAAATAATGGTACATTTGGCCCAATTAAGCTTAATTTCAGAGGACGTTTGTGAACCTTTAAGTGCAATCTGATCTACAAATACACAAAGCCACATGTCTACACACACAATGAGAGCGGGGGACGATACATACGCATACACCTAATGATTGCTCTAACACACTTGGAATCAGTGCATGTAATTTTTCACCTGATTGATCCCGCTGGCCAGGGGAGATGAGTTGCACTTCTCTGCCAGGTTAACAGGTATGTGTGTGTGTGTTTGAGACCACGTACAATCCTCTGAGGAACTCCAGAGGAAATAATAGAGTGGGAAAACAAACCAGAGCTCCAAATATAGGCAGCCAGTTTATGAGGGAATTTTCCAACTATCATAGAGATCGTGCCACATTTTCTGTGTAGTGCTGCACACCTTTTGGTAAAATGTAAGTTTTATTCAACATTTAATATTTAAAGAGTAACTCAACACCCCTAATATAATTAATCAAAAGGATTTGTTTTGTCGTTGACAATCCCAGTTTTTTCAAATTCTTTATTTTTACTTTGTTTTCTACATTAAAAGAAAACACAGGGAACGACACTCTTCGGCAGAGACAACAGTTACGCGTCACCGACCAGCACATAGAGCGAAAGAACGAGAACGCAGAGTGAGACGAAGTGAGTGAAGTAGGAGAAGTGGATCATGCTTTCACCACTGCCGAAGATACTGTCATCCTTGTCAGTGACAGTGACGATGGGAGTTGTCGACGGAGGGGATTGGGTGCTGGTACTTGTGGTGGTTCTGGGTGGGGATGTTGGACAGGTAAAGTTTAAGTCGCTATCGACTCCTGAGGAGGTGAAGGTAACAAAGCCGGGTTTGCTGCTGCCAGTGATGTTGCTGATCCAGTCCTGGTACTGGGACACACGGGTGTAAACTCCAGGAGTCATGGGTTTGGCACAGCCGTCACCAAAACTCACAATTCCACTCTGGACCCAGATCAGACCGTTCTTGGTCACCAGTGGCCCTCCTGAGTCTCCCTGTGGACAGAAACAGGTGATAGTTGTTGGGATAGAACAAGATATATCTTTTAGAGGAAGCATCCACCCTGCTGAAGCACAAATGATCACATGAACCAATTATTGTCTTATTTAACAACCTTCATGCATCTGTATGTAGATTTGTAAAACAGAATCCCAGAAATATATATTCTTCAGAAGTTGATTTAGCTCAGTTGATCTGTTGCATCAATCACTTCCAGACATTTGAGCTAATTTTAACAGTTTTTTAAACAAAGAACTAGCAGCAAAAGAACTGGGAACTAAGGTAAGTTAATATTAAGATAACTAGATGAAACTATGAATAACTCAACTGTGACTAAAACTAATGATGCCAAAATTGACAATGGTTTCTGGGAGACAAAGACAAGCTAGTAAACATTTTGTGCATCATCTGCAGGCACATTTATGGGATGTGAAGTACATTTTTTATTTTGTCTTATTTTCGGCAACCAGCCCTCTTGACATAAAATCTGCCATGTAACTAGAACTGCAAGACATATAAGTACACACCCCCAGGACACTCTCCCCCGGGAGTCAACAAGGCATTACATAACAAACACACAAAAAGTGGAGGGTCACCTGACAAGCATCCTTCCCTCCAGCTCTGAGCCCGGCGCAGATCATGTTCTCTGTGATATCGTAATAGGCGCATTCGCACTCATTGTTTCCCACTATGGGTACATTCACCTCCTGAACGATGTCAGACAAGGAACCTAATTGGAGATATTTCAATCTGTATTAATCTCTTATATTTCATCAAGGTACTGCAACTACAAACTCTCGCTTTGATCATCTTTGAGCTTACAGTTACCAGTTTGACCCCAACCAGTGACCCAGCTGTTGACCCCGGTGTGGAAGGTGCTGTTTGCTGAGGCCAAGCAGATTGGATATATGTTGTTGGTTAAGTTCACAGGGGCCGACAGCTTCAGAAGACAAATGTCGTTGTCTTTGCTCAGTAAATCGTATGCAGGATGGCACATGGTCTGAACGACTTCCTGAGACACTTCATCGGGGTTTGGACCTGACTGGCTTTGGCGTCCCAGATGAACCTCTATGTTGTCACTTTTTAAAGAGAAATAAGTGAAATAGTTAAATTTTCAACGTCCAGAGAATAAATTGATTTACAAATGAGTGAGTGTTTGACCCCCACCTGGTACTAATATCTTTATCTGAATAATCAGACAAGAAAACAAGCATTTTAAAAGTTGTTAGCTTGTTGTCTTGCGGACAGAGCTGACAAAGTATGAACTTAGACTTTTTATTTAGTTATTTCTGCATCATTTTTTTCAGTTTATTGCAATTAAATCACAGCAAAACCTGCTGTAATAAGTGGGTTCAAAGTGAGTAAACACAAATGACATATTTTTGATCATTGAGGAGGGGAGGAGGTGAAATCCTTCCTTTAAAAAAAAAAGGTGAAAGTACTTACTCTATTATGCAGTGAGCAGCTGTCAGCACCCACTGGTCGGTAATTAGGGAGCCTCCGCATTGACTGTCATCAGTGTTTAAACTGACTTGCCAGGGCCAACTTCCTGGAGGTGCATCTTGACCTCCCACAATTCTGGTGTTACTCAAAGCAAGGCCACATTCTAGCAGAAGAAAAGAGGATTAAACATGGAGAATATGCAAGAAAATACATAAAATTACCAAATATGTCACGTCTGCCTTTTAAAATTGTAGTTAAGATATGAAAACGACTTGCTTAAGATTAGAGAAAAGGTCATCGTGATTGTTTACTGTTCACTTCAGAGTTGGTTGTGTTTTGGGCTTAGAAATACTGTCCATTGACAAAATAGCAAGTTTGATGTTGGTTTTATGTTCGACATATTGGAGGTTTCAGACGATGCCCAGTTTCCCAGTTGGACTGTACGACTTGGATGTTGATGTAAACGGTGTCTACAAGGTGGAAACTGGTCATTAAGTTAACTCCCATATGACAGGAACGCAGCACAAGAACGTCACGCTACTTCCTCCTTTAGAGAGTTTGCTTGTCAGGAAGATGTGCCCTCCAGTTATCAAACATGTGAACAAACTTTTCTCAGTTTTTCCAGTCAGACAGTCTTTGAAGCCAATTTTGAAGCTGAGCACACCTTGAATTTTACATTTTACTATAAATATAAAAATATGCATGTGTTACCGCCTTGTTTGTGTGTAACTGGACAACCTTTTGTAGTTTTCTATTTGTAATTCAGGTGTGGGTCCTCGCTGGAAGTTGTTGGTCCAACTGCAGACCCGCCTACTTTTTCCTGGCCTTGGGTTTTGCCGATCTGGAGCGGGCACCTTTCATTTCCCTCCACAGAAGCTGCAGCAGGACAGGCTCTTAAAATGGCTGCAGGCCTGGCCTTCCTCAGGCCAAGTTCTCGATTTCTTGACCTAGTTTGAGGCCTCTTGGCCACGTTGGTTTGGATAAAAGACTAATTGTTCCGTGAGTCGAAAATTGTTTGTGTAGCATGCTTGCGTAATAGTAATTGACGTGGTGGGTGGTTCTGTGTTCACTTCCTTAGGGGAAACGTGGGCCAGGTTTATCTTGTTACTGGATTTTCTGTTTGGCAAAAAACCCTGAGTCCCTTCCTTCTATGTTTGTTCACTAGGGTTTTTAGGTGGTTGGCTTGTTGCTCTTGTGTTTTTGTGTTCAAAAGACGGAGGGTTTTTGTTTTCATGTGTTTGTTTTATAAGTTTTTAGTCATAAAATTTCGATTTAGAAGATTTGTTTTCTGTTTTTTCAATTTTGTTTACGCAGCCACCCACTTTTGGTTTCTGATTAAGTTCTTTGTTAACTTCCTGTTAATAAAAAACACCTCTTTCCCACATTAACCCAAAACATTCTGTTGGTTTATGTTGCTTCCCTTTCCCCTACCGAGCCGGGTCGTAACAGCATGTATGGGATTTTTATATTACTAGAAAATAGGAATTCTTTACCATACAACAGTTTCAGTTTTGTGATCTCAGCTGGTTGTTAGAAGTGAATTCAACATCACATTTTTTCGCCTAAAGGCAGATTTGTTATTGCATTGTACTGTATGTGCTGAGGTCTGCGGTGACAGATGACAGACAGGAGTTCTTCCTTGTTGCTGAAATATCTATCTATCTATCTATCTATCGAAGAGTTGGATTCTTACTTTGCTGCTGTGAATGACAACCTGAAATGTAGAGCACAGAACATCTTCAGGTGATAACAAACATTTGATAGCACACACAGAACCAAACCTAAAAGGCTGAATTTCCTCAAAACCGTCAGTGTTTGTAATTGTCCTACTAGTTAATTTCAAACTTTACGTCCCAAATCTGCATCAAACCCCACTCAGATCCACTTCTGTTTCACTTTCAATGTTACATCTTCACCTTTGTATGCCTCATAAAATACCTCACTTCTCATTGTTCTCAGCAAATAAACAAAATAATTCAACACTTTCATGAACACATAGGACAATTACACAAAAGGACACTCAACATTTATTTTGACCCCTGGAAGAGTAGTTGTTACCTTGGTAGCCTAGTGGCTAATGGGCATCCAAATAAGATAAGTAAGTAAATATTTGTACTCCAGAGATCAATGAAGGGTGATCCTCATTTACAATGACATTAAGTAAATCAAAAAAACAACAAAGATAAAGATACAGTAACAAAAGACTATACCACAATAAACCAATAAAAAGCCATTAAAAGTTTCCAATTAGGGAAGATAATTTAATAAATTAAGATAATTCAATTGTAAACAATTACAAGTCACATGCACTAAAATTAAAAGCAGTCTTTCCACGTTCAGACCTAATTAGTGGAAGCAAGAGTCAGTGAGCAGAGCAGGTCTGATCTGAGTGACGAAGCAATTCTGTTATATCTCTTCTTGAGAGAAGATCACCCAATCAACCCCTATCATATAAAATACAATGTGTACCGCAGACATCAGCGGTAATAGGTGAATCTATAAGTTTAAGAGTTGAGGAAGTGTGTGTGCGTATAAATCACATCCTCATAGTCCAACGCTGACACAAACTACCTCAACTGATTTTATTTTGGTAGAACTGAGCAACCTTTTGCAAATGCAAGTGCAAATATGCTTTCACTCCAACATGAACTAGTTCAAAAGATCTTTGCTTAATGTACTACTATCATTCCTGTCCTTGTTAATTATTGTCTTTAATTATTTTTTGTTTAAAGTAGAGAAGACAGGAATTTATATTATTGGTAAAAAAAAAGGGTATTTTACAAGAAGCAACTGATTACAGGCACTCTTTAGTGACATTAATTGATTAGCTTTTACACGCACTTGAGGTTTTTTGATTGCATTATAATTTTTCTAGAAGATAAAATAATTGCTCTGTGATTTAAAAAAGTAAAAAAATAAAGAGAACCCTACAATTTCTGCTATTTTGACCCAGTCGGGAGAATTGCTTTGACCCTTTTTTTTTTGGCCTTTTGCTGTAAGCTGTGAAAAAGCTTTTTTGATACGGAAAATATGTTCACTTCGAAGAACGTCGCTGATCTGCAGAGTGAGCAGAAATGTATTCATATCCGAGAGGTTACAGACGGAAGGCCACACAGGAACCCTTTCACAGAAGACCAGATGTGCGTTATAGGCGACTTTAAAGAGCTGCTTTTGTGCTTCTGAGCAGTTTTCAACCCTCACGTCAACTTAGGTAAAACAGAACAACAGTCTTGTGCTTCCTCCACCTTCGATATGAGCCAAGTAATAAGAAACATATATTTCTTACCTTTGGATGAAAGAATGATCACCACAGTAAAACACAGAAACTGGTAGAGAGCCATTTTAACCTGCGCCTTGTTCACTTCGTCCTCAACTTTAAACACCTTATTCCTCAGTACTCAGCTCCACCCAGAGTGAAATTCCTTCCATTAAACCATCATAATTAGTTCTGCCTTTGACCGACCTCTCCACATACCATAACTCAAGGTTTAGGAAGCTCCGGATGAGCATCAAGTCAAACATGTTTGTCTTGTGTTGATCTGTGTTGGGACATAATGCTGTATTTTCTCTTTGCTGCTTTAAAAGTACTGAATCAGACATTGTATATGGCTGTTTTCTCTGAGATTTCAGTCCCTCAGGCCTCATATCTTACAAGTTTATCTAGCACAGTGACCTTATAATGCTCAGACAAATCACAAAGCCACTCCTTAAAATCTTTTATCGGGAAAAAACACTTATTTTGTATGCAGATTTTGGTACAAATATACAAATATTTGTTTACTGGAATGACATTTAGTCACTTATATTAGTGGTAACTAATAATACAAGATGTTTAATGCTTCACTGTTTAAACTTAATCCAGTTTTTACACCTGGACCTTGTTTTGACTCTAGACCATTGGAGAGAATGACCCCTTCTAGGATGCAAGCATAAGTATAATCAGCCAGAATAAGTGAAAATACCTCAATATTTTATAATTGTGAAAGAAAAGCCAGCCTACTCAACCATAAAGTCACTCAGAGTTTCCCTAAAGTCACAAGAAAGTTTTCAAAACCAATCACACTAGAACAAGACATGGCTTTTGAATGTTTTTTTCCTCAATACCTGCGTGTTACGTGTCACCCTCCAGCCATGTGAGCAGGTGCATTATGTCACCTGTTTACTGGATTGCACAAGGACGTGTTGGCCAAGCTTCTCATCTTTCTGCCCGCTGTACCTTAGAGACAGAGAGAGAGAGAGAGAGGCAAACACACCCACACATCCTCTAAACACATTTCAAATACACCCATTCAAAGCTTTAGGACTAGTGCCTGGCACTCAATCATGCAATCTGACACAGTAAAATCAATATTTTATTTAGTGTGAAAAAGCAGCAGTTGTTGGCAGCATATTCCTCATGCTGTGAGTGCCCTGAAGAAGGAGAGGAGTTCTCAACAGGTAAAACTAATGTTCATTCATATTTTTATGAAAGGATTTCACATGATGTCCAGTGTCTGATACAATATATCAAAGCCCAAGCTCTTGTTGATCATATGATATAATAAAACAGGATTTTATTATGGTGGTCCATGCATTATCTTCCACAGATACTAAACATTTCTCAAATATTGTGCATGACACAAATGCAAGTAACACATTTTTATATGTATATAAGTACAAAAAGCATGAAAAATATGATGCTTTTTAACATAAGACTTTATTAATCCCTCACTTGTTACAGCAGCTCCAGATGTTTAACACAGCAGACAGCAAAAACACATTAATTAACAAAATAAAATAGAAAAAATACAAGATATCAAGAAAAAATAAATAAAATTTGGGTTGTATGTACAAACTATATACAGCATGTTTATACAGATGTGTGATTTCAAAGTTAAATTATAATATTGCACAGGTTACAAAAGGAGGTAGTGGCATAATGTAGAAATAAATAATAACAGAAATGATTTCACAGGGATATGTAAGAAATGATGTATGTATATATATATATATATATAGCCTATGTATGTGAGGACTATACAGGTAGTTTTTGAGCATGTATTAGCCACTTTTATCTTCATCTGCCACATGTAAGTGTTTATCTGACCAGGTACATTTGTATTCTAGTTGCTGTCACTTGGATTCATGCTTCAGACAACAGCAGCAGCTCTTTGGCTCCTCACGCCACACAGCAGCCTGCTGTAATGATATCAGATCAATACACAAGGAGGACACCCAGCGTTTGGCAACATTGCTAAAGCAGGAAAATAATTATGCTGTTTCGGTGTTCTGCTGATGTACAGATCCGCCCATGCCCTGCTATTTTTTTGGATCTTTATACAGACGTGCAACTCTGCGCCACGACAAAGGTCAACTTCTCTTTATGCATGGCACACACCCAAGTTCAAGTTCTTCTTTTAAATTATTATGAACTTTTCAACGAGAAAACACATCCAAAGGTGCAGCAGTAAAGACTAATGTCTAATTCTTACCAGAGTCTCTTATCCAATCCTAAAAGCAGCAGGTAATATGTGTTTAATCTGTCTTATTTGAGTGAGGCTGATCCTCTTATTATTAAAGAAAGCACCAGGCTGTTGCTGGTAGTTTATTGTTCTACAGAGTTTCTTAGTGCAAATCATCCAAGACAATTCTTCATCCGAAGATGAGCTGAGGTCGCTATTTTCATTTAATTTAGGTGTCAAGAGTGCAGTGCATCTTGCTGTTACTGGTCATTTTAAAGTCGCATGCGTTCACTTCTTTAATTCGCCACTGACATTATATCATATTACGTCTGATCCTGCATTGGGGCCTCCAATGAAAGGTGACCCAGTGCGTCTGTAGATATATTTTAAGGTAAGAAAAACACAACAATTCTTATTTTGACCTGATTATAAACTCATGAAAACATAATTATGAATATTAAATTGAATTTCTACCAACAGATCCCTCGATGTTACACACTGGACCTTTAAGTCAATATTAAAGACTCAAGATGACATTAAAAAGGTTTGATTTTGATGTCTTCTTACACTTGAGGGCGAAGTGTAAGGTCAGTGTCAGTAAAGAAAAGAGTGCCCAAGGTGGACCAAGACAGGTATGGTAAGAGGGAAAGTAGAGGTATGTAAATTTAAGCAAATGATAGACTGACAAGTAGAGGCTGTGATAGTGGAGGAGAGGTTGATATGCACCAGTCAGGCTGGTTGTAATGATACTGATTAACTGACGCAATCACACGAAACCTTCTCATCCCTCTCAATCAGACGGACAGGGACAGAGGGGGAATATTGATTGGAGGTGAACAATGAATGATGCCGGTCTCCTCTTTAAAGTTAAGCGGGCGGTGGTGTGTAATTCAGTCTGTCATATTTCAAACTTCTTAAGCATTTTGTTTTTAGCTACCTCTAAATATGGATCCAACTGAGGATAAATTAATTCACTGGAGGCGGAAACCATAGTCTGGTTAAAGCTTCTATTCTGTTGATTCATCTTTTTGTTTTACTAAATTACTCGCAAGGCGTGTATAAAGGAGACCTGGACACAGTGTTGGAAAGAAATTAGGCCAGCCAGTTGAACGCATAATACCAGATATACATGCACCAATGTGTCCCAGAGACTTCAGGTAACATAAAATGATTTCATCGTGGCTCTTGTAGACTTTACAAATGTTTTCGGACTGAATCGGTCAAATCCCGATAATGAAATAAACCATTGTTCAGGGGGTTGTGACGCTCAAAAACATGTACCCACCATTTTATAGCCACTTCTATCACAATGTAGGTCTGTGGGAAATAGTCTTTTGTTTTAATTACATGCTTTGGCTTCAAATCCTGGCACTTTCTGGGGCTAGTCCACTACGTTTCAGTCACTTCAGACAAATCTTCCTGCCAGCTTTATAATGCTCAAATAGTTCTGCTGTCCTTTAACACAGTTGTTGTTGAATGTCCGACTCACTGTGGGTTGCCAAATGCATTTCGTCCAGATTTCCCTCGGTGGTTCCTATAGACAATGAATCCTAATGACTTTGGAGATCCTCCAACTTTCCTCTTGTGCCACAATAAGGTTGACATTTGTGGTTGTGAGTGAAACATCTCAACAACATTTGGATGGATTGCCATGATGAAATATGGTCCAAACATTCATGTTCCCCTCAGGATGGATTGTCGGGTCAAAATTTTACATTTGTTCAGTTTATTGATCATTTTAGAAGCACTAAAGACATAACTAATAACTAATTACAGCAAGGACAAAGGTACAACTGAAACTGCTGTCATCTCTAATGAATAATAAATGTGAGTATCACGGTTTCCTCTGCAAAATTATTCCAAGTTAATGCATTTCCACTGATTTGTAATGCCCATTTTGGTTCTCATCACGTCAAGCTTTGTAATTCTTTTCTGCAATTCTAACACGATTCCCTAAAACCTTTTGGCAAAGCATCCACCACACTGCTGTCATCACGGCCGAGCATGCAGCCAAGTTTTTAACACGTACACATTTCCTAGTTCCTGAATAGTCTGCGGCTTCGACAGACATCAGCCTCCGGAGCTGATGAATTCACAGCCACCGCCAATTTCTTGCTTTCACTCAGAACAGCATCATCCTGATTGACTATTTTCTTTCAAATGCAAATGCTCTCTTTGCTAGAAGGAAATTATAGATGATATTTGCAGTGATCTTTAGTTCTAGGTTATAAAAACTGACCAGGTAGAGAGCTCAGACGCAAACATCGCGCTTTACTGGGACCTTTCGTGGAACCATTGTTCATGAAATCTGTTTCACCTTTTCTTTTCTTGCTGTGACGAGTTTAAAACGTTGCAAGCTGCACACAGGATGTTTTCTTTGTCGTTTCTCCCTCAACAGCCCCGACAGATGAACCAGTTCTCCCCTGTTGTCAAGTTGCCAGTTCTGAGTTCTTTGATGTCTCTCAGTGCCGAATGAAATGAATGACACATGGTCACATTGTCTCTTGTCGCTGCTGAAGTGAGCTCTCAGTAACCCAGACACTGAATATTCTCAGGTCTACTTGTTTTTAAAAAGAAAAAGAAGACTTTTTAATGAAAGACGCTGGGAAGAACGTGGAAATTATGCAAAACTGCAGTTTCTTTCCCCTTCAAACAAAAACATGTTTTACTTGTGACACATCATGTCCGCTTTCAGTTCCAGTGCTTTTACTGCTTGTTATTGTAATGGACATTTATCTCAGCTTGTCTGGTCAATATATTGACAACTCCTTTACATGTGCAAACGACCGCCCCACTGAGGCTAATACTTGTGCAGTGTTGACTCTGAGTGTGTGAATGAGTGAATGAGAGAGAAAGAGGGAAAGAGGGTGTGTATGTGTTTGCACAGTTTCAACTCATCT